AATAGGTTGTTGTGGTATCTGTAAGTGTGAGGGCGTTGCCGCCGGTTCACGACCAGTAATAGCATAATTCGAAGCTAAAATATTATTCACATGACTCGCCAATTGTTGTGACAATAAATCAAACCTTTTATCCAGATCCCGCAACCAGTCATGCTTTCGGAGTTTCCTTGGTGGTTCCTCGTCTCTATATTCCGACGAATCCTTGAAATATTTTCTTTAGGCGCGATAACCTCGTCACGCATTATTAAGCGTTTGAGGTATTAAGAAACGGAAGACAAACAACGCTTGTTTGCAATTAACCAACTTTCTACTTTAAGTCTCAAAAGTTGATTATAACAACTAATAAAAGTATTAAAGCTTAACTTTTTACGACTGCACTGGTTGAAAAACGACGCAACAATGACAAAATACGGCGGCTTGTCTTTGCTTGTGAGTTAGTTCCAGAAAGGTGTATAGAGGGTGCTGTAGGCGCGGTTTAGGAAACGGAAGTAGAAAAATTTTGCGACCTGCAGCGGAAATCGGAACACATAATAAAAATATGTGCGCGCGCATTGTAAAAATTGTACTCGCATAAATTTTTCAAAACCCGCCAAAAGAAGTATAACTGTTTAAAATGTTCATCTGTTTTAAAACTAGTTAATTTTTTTTAAATAAAAAGAGTGCAAATTTTTTTATTTTTAAAAGTTGAAAAAAACAAAACAAATTTAAAAAACTCGTTTGCATTTTCATTTATTTACGTTCATTGATGAAATAATAGCGTAACTGACTTATTAGATCGTTTACTTTATTACTTACCAACCGTAGAAGAACGCGCTTCCTTATCACTACCAACAGTTCTTCATCATCCTCATCTGGCAACGATTCAGATAGTTAAGACCGCGTGAGAAAGTTATGAACCGTCTAAGCAGAGACTTTAGTACTATGCAATTAATATTTCACACCGACCATTGGAGAGTCAGTCGGCTAATTTTGTAATGCGTTATCTCTGTCACACACTACCCATGTGACGTCTGTCAATTTTTGTACAAATGGGTGACAGAGATAACGCTCTACAAAGCGGAACTTAGCCAAATGTCTTATTGCGCATCGATGCACAATATTTATCACAGAATTTTTTGTGCCGTGTAGTTTGCTGTTAGCCCGGCGGCTTTGACAGCTTTAACGGATAATAATATCTATCTTACAAAGGCAAAGACCAAATGTTTCCACTAGGTTTAACAATATTGTTAATTTGAACACGATAATTTATACTTAGAATATGTGATAGAATAGCAATTAACCATTCCGTCTCCGTCGCTTGCTTAAGGTGTCGGAAGACTCAGTTTCTTTGATAAAAGCCATGAAATTAAGTAAGATTGAGTTAAAAAAAGAAAATAAATCGTCAACATACGTACATTTGAAGGAAAAACAAACGATTACAATATACATCTACTGGCTACCATCCTAACCTAACGTGCTAGTTGATATATAGGTCTCAGCTGTCAGTCTTCAAGCCTTCTTCATTATAATCGGACGCAAAGGCGTCAAGAAAGGTGAGTTTTCAATCTCTTGAGTTCTTCCCCACAAGTTCTGAGATAGGTGAAGCTTTAATAGTCTAAGAATTGAAAGCAATTACCTACATCCATCTACATCTACTGTATTAGGGCCACGCAACTAATGGACAGGTCCGTCCGGGTAAATACCACGACCTCACAGACGACCAGCATCAAATGGAAGTGATATATATGCATTTCGTCTGATGAGTGAGATAGCCGGGGCACACTTTATTAAAAGGTGGCAACGCATCTGCAACCCTACGAGTGTTGCAAATGTCCATGGGCGGTTGTCATTGAACTTCAGGTGAATCGCCAGCATGTTTGCCACTTTTTTACATAAAAAAATCCAATCCGGTATTAACTATAGGGAAGTGAAAAAGTAAATAATTTGAAATGTTTTGAAATTTATTATAAAGTTATAATGTTGATTTTCTTATGAACTAAAAATTTTGTTAAACAGTTTCAAATGGTCTAAAAAAGTTATACTATTTAGTTTTATCCGTAATAACCGTTATATCCGCATATCATTGTTTATGTTTATATTATCTTTAATAACACATGTTTTAGATATTTGACAAGTCCATTTTTATAAACGAGAAACAAAACAGACTTTCTTGTGCTCTTACAATCTATATTCAAAATCAATTACATTTTTTACCTAAGTTAATTCCATTTCAAGAGAAGAATTTCGTAGTTAAAATAATTAATCAGGCAAAGGCAGGCTAAAATCTTTAATATTTAAAAAAACTTTTACGTAATACTAGCACATTATCTATTTACGAAATTAGATTTATGTATATAGAAAGAAAAAGGGTGCCATATCGTCTTGGGCCTAGGGCGCCATCAAACCTAAATCCGCTATACTTTATTCAGAACTAGCGACCCGCCCCGACTTCGCGCGGGTGCAATGTAAACCTTCCTCTTAAATCACGCTATCTAAAAAAAAACCGCATCAAGATCCGTTGCGTACTTTTAAAGATCTAAGCATATATAGGGACAGACAGACAGCGGGACGGCTTTGTTTTATACTATGTAGTAATAAAGAAATACGTTTATTTTCAACTCGTCCGGTTTCAGAAACACTGATCATCGTAGAAGTCAAATAATCAGTTGTCAAATGGATTTTCATTAAAATTTGAAAATCCATTTAACAGCTGGTTAGTTGACTTCTACGATGACCAGTGTTTCAGAAACCGGGCGTAAATGTTTCAAAACCAGCACGGGAAAGAGTCCTTAACAGTCCGTATATCTGCGTAATTAACACTTACAATAGCATCGACACGGCACTTTCATTCAAATTACGTCGCGTATTTGGCATATATATCCGCTATAGAGTTAGAAAAGCTTGCATGACATATCGTTCAATATACCAGGCAAGCTTTTACAACGAAATTGTCTTAGAAATTATCTCAAATCTCTCTGCTAACCCCATGAGAGATTCTAGACTTAAAAGTTAATGTATTTATTAAATCAATGATTATAATTCTATCAATCGCAAACGACTATAGATAAAAAAGTGTAGTCAACTCATCATCCACGAGTACAGATAAAAAATATAGCAAGTCTACTCCAATAACTGGCTTCGGCGGGCGGGCGACGGAGCGGATTATGATATTAAATTGTTTCAAGAGCGCTCCCTGGGGGTGGGGGGTGGCCACAGGGGCGGACTGCCTGCTAATTGAATTATGTCCGAATCTATAGCGGTTAATCTGTGTTATTACTACACAGGGACAGATTTGAGTGGAGATTACGAGGTATAAATACACACACTGACAGACTGAATTGTCCATCTCTCATTTAAACATATACAGGGTTATAGTGTTGTTTTAATAGTACAAGCATCGCCAGGTTTGGAAACGAAAATGGCGGTATATCTGTTGATGGATAATTGTCTGTATGGAGAAATCCGAAGACGTTAAATTATAATAGGTACTAATTGCCAACTTTGGGAGCCAAGGTCTTTTTAAAGTTTATTTTATTGAACCTTATCTCCATAAAGTGCACTGTCATCTTAATACTTATTTCTTCAAAATCAAAAATATATTTATTCACATAGACGCTTGCGCGTTCTTATGAATTGTCAAAAATTTTACATAAAAATTAATACGTTCGTAAGTTACCACCGGTTCGGAAAGCAATTTCTGTTAAGAAGAAACCGGCAAGAAACTCAACAGTTGCTCTTTTTTAAAACGATTAGTTTACAATATAATAGAACAAGTATGTCATGCCCTTTATGACTACGTAGTAAGCCTACGTGACATACGTGTATGTTATTTTACGAGATACCCTATATTAGCAAATAAAACTAATTCACGTATTTTTTCGCGTTTAACGTGAAGGAATGTAAAATATCAGCCTGTCTCTTGACTTAAATTTTTGAAACATCGCAAACAACGCGAAAAGTTTTTTATACATTAGTCGGGTTACAATATTATATTATATATGTATGTATACTTTTGTTAAACGCGGTGTAGATATGTGTCGACCATCGTGACCTTTTTTATAAGATGGATGGATGGTAAATTCTAGATTATATTGTAAAAGATGAGATATTTCATCTACTACAAGTATATTTAATTAGATTACATTTGCTTTTATTTGTATTTAGTCTATTTTTTCTTTTCTCTTTTTCACATTAATTGGGATTATTCGTTAAGGGTTTTAATTAGTTATTTTTTTGTTTTGTTAACTGAAGAACAGTTAGTGAAAATTCTAGCGAGATTTTATTATTATGCAACGGTTATGTACTTTGCTAAGTAACAATAATAATGATTCACTGTTGCTACTGAACTATTTCACATTTGATGAGTATCTAGTTTGTAGCTAATATTACATATTATAATTAAATCTGTTAATGCTGCTTTCCTAACGACGATGAAATGATGCGTAAAAAAACCTGTGAAAATTATAAGACGGGGTTATATCATATACGTACTTGTCGAACATTGAAACATTTATATGATAATCTAATTCGATATCTGATGCTATTCAGATGAAATGCTCGATGATATGCCCTAAACACTAATTTAGGGCATATATTATCTAAACAAAAGTATTCTAATAACGCCGAAGTTTTCATTTTTCCCTCAAAATAAATAATTAAAAAATAGCCATCAACACTACAGCCCATCTCAAACGGTGTCATTCAAATCAATATCTGGTCAATCGTAATTCTTCGATACATACGTACATAAGTGCGGCGGAATCAGACGGATCCAATATGGAAATCTCGTCCGATCCTCGCTAGAGCGCCTAATCCGGCCCTGGCTCAATCAAAGGCCTCGCCGACCGCAAATCACTGCGGGACCACACCCACAAGTCCGGCCCCGCCCCGCGCAGGCGCCTTCGCGTCGCGACAGCCCTACTAGGGCGAAGCGCCCGCCCCACGCGCAGCCCTGCCGCGCCATTCAGCCACGACCGGTCGCAGCGAGCCCTCGGACCGTGTCGAGTGCCGTGATGTGAGCCATGGAGCCTAGCCGGGGCACCCTTTGCCCGGACATAAGCCTGCTCTACCGGGGAGTCCCCGACTACGACGCGTGCCACTCGCCCGCCTCCACGGTAGACGATGGGGACAGCCAGCCGCCGTTCGGTGTGGACCTCAGCGGGAAGGGCACCAGCTTGGCGGGCAAGTCGTTCACCATCGCCGCCATCCTAGGCCTGGGCGACGAGGACGTGGCGCTCGGGATGCAGGAGCGGCTGCAGCAACAGCGGCAGCTGCACAGCTACCTGTACCCTGCCCACGAGGCGCGGCGGCTGAACGACGGCCTCTGCAGGATGGCCGGCGCGCAGACCCTGACCCATGGTGAGTGCCGTCATTCGTTCCGACTTATTCGTTACTCATCTGCTCTACCCTTGACCCAGGGTGAGTGCCGACCTATCCGTTACTCATCTGCCGTCCAGGGAGGGTACTTTTACGGCTGAAGGGAATATGCACAACGGGTCATCAAACAGTCCATCTCAAACGGTTTAGTTCGTTATCTACATTCTACATGATCAAAATCCTTATATGTATCAAGATGTATATGAAACAGATCCAATATTCTATCTATCAGAGATGTGTCGTAATTAAGATTATCATAGTACATTTGGAATCCAGATACAAATTTTGTATTTCTATCTCATATCTGAAACACTTTTTTTTGTTTCTTGTGTTTAGATACAGATACCTATAATATACAAATTATGTATTTATATCTCATATCTAAAATAATTTTTAATTGTCTTATTTCGTATCTTGTACTCGGATAAACTATTTAATCTAATTAATAATTTATCAATAATTTATTAGTATAGTTTGTTGTGACATATTTAAAAGTTGTTGGTTTGATGCCTATTGCGTCGTGATATTTCCTACACCCTAGAATGGGGGGTAGTTGGCATTTGCTTTTGAGGGGTATAAATTCAACTCTCCCAACGTACGCGAGTTAGTTTTTGGTTATTGGAATTAAAGGCTGTTGCTCTGTTGGAAAAGCTAAGTATTATTGTTATCCAATTATTGAGTCGTTGAGTTATAGTTATATAAATCTGTAAAAGCTGTGTTTTATAACACGTCTCTAATATAATATAAAATTGTAATTTTTACCAACTTATCTAAATAATGGTAAAGTAACTATTACATTTTAAATATTACCAGGGTAGAAAGTTAAGTTCATTCTACAATAAAATAAACAAAATTTTATTGAAATATAACACTTGTGAATGACTCTTCTCTTTTGGGTAAATGGTTATGAGTCCTCCTCAAGGATAGAAGGTTTGTAGAGCTGGTCTTAACTTCAAACTTTCAATCATTTCAATTCTCAAATAGAATGATATAAATAAAATATTTTCTGACATTTTTGCGTTTAATCATTTCATTTGTCTTGTACACCATTCATTGACAGTTTGTTTATTTGTCATCGAAATAGACAGTGAATAAGTGGTTTCTTTATGCAGTCATAGAATAATGTTTTTGTTTATTTCATGTATGTTACTTATAAATAAATTACCTGATATCTACAATATTATATGTCCGGATAAAGAAAATACAGTTTGAGTCAAAAACAAATATAGTTTTCTACTACAATGATAAGATGTAAAAAATAACTTTTTACAAATCATTCCTATAATTACATTTCTTTACAATTTCACTGTGTACATTATTAAATAAATGAATAAAATACCATTCCAGTTCTTATATTTTTTTGGTCTTATGTCTGTTTCTAAGTAGTTTCCACGTAGTATTGAAAGTCCACCTATTTTATATTTTATTAAGCTTGGGTTCCTTAATCAAATGTAATAAATATTTAAATCGATCACCACGTATTATTATTTAAATATTTCTTCAGGAAAACTTAATTAAAAACATACAAAATATTTTTGTATTGTTGTATTTGCGATTAATACACTACATCTATAAAAAGTTTTTTATAACTTTCCTGTTTCATTTATAAGTATAATCTTTTAAGGGTTGTAATTATATTCTAATTATATTTAACATCGCATATAAAATGCAATGTCAATGTAATAAGCCATGTAGAAGAAGCCGCATAAATAAATTTATTCAATAAACCTAACCCAAAATTTAATGTAATAAATCAAAATAAACCGTTAATAAATCTAATGTTTAGATATTTTTCCATCTATTTTGAGTAGGGCCATCGGAATATCAAGATGTACAATTTTTGAAATTAGCCAAACTATTGAAACGAGGTATTTTTATTTCCACATTTGAGAATAATGTACAAAATTTTATAAAATATTTGAAAGGATAACGCGTTTATTGTCACATTAATAAAAACAAAAATATATTTAAAGAAAAAAAAAAGAGGACTTATCGATGGAAAGCTTTATGAGAGTCTCCCGTTATCTCACACATTTGAAGTGGTAAAATATAGTACAAATACTTATCTTAGAGCTGTGACAGCTCAGTGTCTGGGCGCTCGCCTTTAATGTAATTTACTCGAGCGACCTGAGTTCAATCCCCGGTGCCGGAACCAATGAAATTTTTAATTTTAAGTGTTGAATTATCACGTGCTCAGCGGTGAAGGAAACCTGCATATTTTCGAAATAATAATAGAAAAATATATTTCGAAGATATGTGATGTCCGCCAATGCTCTGATACCCTCTGTATAGAGGGGCCTTTGCCCAGTAGTGGGACATGTATACGACTACGTCAAGGCAGTCCTGGCAGGATTTCCTCGATTCCCACTCGAACCGACCCATAAACGCAGTATTACCTAACAAACGGATGTATGTTCCGTACGTTAGTTGGTCTATAAGTAAACGCGTAAAACCCTTCTACAACTCTAGAGTAGACTATTACCAGCTCCTCATAACTAATACAGATAATTATCTATGTTATGTTGTTTGTATTATGTTAATTAACAGTACACCCGTTTAATAATACTAGTGGAAGCCGACTGCTCGAAATTCGACCATAGTTAATTTAAATTTTAAGTTTTAACAATAGATTACTATTCTCAGATACAATACACAATGAATAAAAGAGTATAATATGCGTGTGCGTCAAATACATGGTAGTGTGTGAACCTAATGTTTTCTTTATTAATTTAGTGTATTTTTCGGCATAATTAAAAAAAAATAGTATTCGGCACTCCTTTATACAAACTATAAGTGTTGTTGTATGTTTAAGTAATTATATAGTAATACATATAAATATTTAATATATAAATATTATTATAAATATTTATTAATGTAATAATAATTGCACCTACCACGATTTCTCACCACGCCCCGGGTTGACTGGGAGAGAATGCCAAAAGGCATTAAGTTCGCCCTTTGTAATCCTTTTTATTTAAAGGTTGCAATAAAGTATAAATAAAAATAAATAAAATAAAATAAGTGTGGGAAATTTCATACTCCTCCGTCCGCGCAATTATCGTAAAAAAGGCGTACAAAGTTTTTGCTGGTCTAGGCGATGGGTGAAGTATTAATGTTTTCTTCCACTCAGGCCAACAAACTGCAATAAGAGACATGTGTTACAATCCACTGGCAACACTGCTTAATATACGAGCAATAACAATTATACTTAAGAAACATTGAGCCATATCTGGTATAATATGATATAATAAACCATGCTTAATAATAATTTATACTTTAATAGGTCAATCTTATTAATGGTATTAGTAATTTAATAAGTGCATTGATTGGTAATATAGTTGTGATGACTCATTATATTTTTGTATATAAGCGCATAATGTTTCAGTGATAGGGTAGAACACTCTTATCCTTTGTATAGGACGTTACTCTGTTCTAATAAGTAGGAAGTAGTCTAATTAATATATAAAGTTGTTTACGCTATCCTCACTATTTTATTTTAGCCGACCAACCTACAGTCTTTAATACATGATATACAGCGTTCTCATAATATTAACGTTTAGGCGCTCGCTTATTAGGGTGCTAGGTTTAAAGTTATTTTAAGAATAAAATTTGCAGTGGACAAAAAGCAAACGAATTATATGTTGGAATCGAAGTCGTACAATGGTACAATAAGCATTTAAGCTTTAGAAAGTTTAGTTAATTTGTGGGAAGTTTTCGCAGAGTATAGAAATGTAGAACTACGTAGATTTATCAAAGGACGGTTTTTCATTTGGAAGTGTATATATATTATATAGAATAACACGAATCGATAGCCTGGAACAATATCATAATGTAAAGAATATGAAATTAACTACGTTTTAGTGTATGCGTTATAGAGAATGCAATCTCCGTTCTAAAACTAAATCTAATTGAGGGACCTGAGCAAGAGTGGTAGTCAGAATATCTATCCACTGGAACAGTTCTACTGTTTCCTTGATGCAGATATTACAGAAAAGCATATCCCCGTAAGGTCCATAGAATTAAATAGGTAGGATCTTCGTACATATTTTCGAAATAATAATAAAAAAATATTTCGGAGATATGTGAAGTCCGCCAATCCGCAGTGGGGCCGCGTGGTGGACTATGCCCTAATACCCTCTGTATAGAGGAGGCCTTTGCCCAGCAGTGGGACATGGGCTGATACTTTACTTTTACTTATACTAGAGTTTTAAGAAATGACATTTTTGTGTGTTTTCTTGCCGTGACGAAATAGGTTAAGCGGTGTAGTTATCGATATGATAAGCAACGCAGACGAATCGAGTTTTACTGGTGACGGACATTTTGTCAGCTTCGTTATACACGGGGGCTGGACAAATGACCCGTTTCGAGCTGATAAGTTGTTACTGTAAACATTCATAGTCTTATTACTAAAATATATTTAGTCCTGGTTTAAACCCGGCCTAACAAGTCACTCACGTTAGTAATAAAACAAAAATTTATGCTTATTAATCAAAGTCTATTCAAGGACGACTTAGCCCAAGGTTAATCTTTGATTCAACACTGTCCACAGATAAAATCGGAACATTGGCAATCATTCATTCGTTCGTTCCTTTTCTTAGCACACTTTAAATGTGTAAATTACTTATTATTGCACAAAACTATATTATTTGTTTACGTTCAAATCCATGGCAATTACGCAATTAGATATTTTTTATAAGAAATACCTCGAATTTAATTTTGCATGATCCTATTTGCCAGCGGTCTCACTTCAGTGTCAAAAATTGTACCTACCAGACGCCCAGACGCTTTAACCACAAAGTTTTCTTTTTGTTTTAATTCCGTTACATACCTACTTTGAAAACTCTATAAACTTAATAAATAAAAGCGAAATGTGTAAGCTGGAACGTCTGGAATTCAAGAAAAACAACATTCGGAAGCGATAAAATCCGATCTACAATAAAGTTTTTGTCGGGAATAAATAGCTTTTTAACCGACTTCAAAAA